TAAAATAATTATTCGAAATTGGATTTAATCGAATAGATTTAAATTCAATTTTATAACGGCTAGACGAACGCGTTTCTCTAGAAAATTATGGTTACGTTCTAGCGACACGTTTTTCGAGAAAAAATAAATTATATAATTTATAAGTTCGCGGTCGCTACATGTGTTATGCTGGTTCAAAGTGGGCTTCATCGGCAAAACTTTGATCACAATGTTCAGCATTGCCAATCCCTTTTTTTTTCCATACTTGAAGAGCCCGCTTTTAATACTTGAGGTTCTCAATTGTTCCACCAAACCCTTTTTATGTTGGCGCTTTCAATGCTATTTAATTTATTCCCCATTAACCTTTTTTCTATTTTCTTCAAAGGATGGTTTCTCGATAGTTGTATAGATTTTAAACTTCTTTTGCTCATCATCCACTCTCAAGGTCATTTGCCTACTGCAAAGTTCATGATAGCCCAACTCGTTGATAGGAAAGATCATCCCAAAATAAGTAGTGATGCATCCCATGGTTTTTCTATGTCTAGGACAATGAAATCTTCTAGGAATATGAACTGCCCACTTTAACGAGCATGTTCTCAACCACTCATCGAGAGCATTTAACTGATATGTCCTTTAGTCGAAGGAAGTTAGTTGTGCCATTTAACTTTTCCAAACCTAAATTCTTGTAGATAGAAAATGGCATTAAATTTATTCTTGCTTTGAAATCACATAACCAAGTTAAAGTAGAATTACTTCTTATTGAGCAAAGTATTTTGACACTCCCTGGATCTTTTAGTTTAGGAGTTAATTTGTTTTGCAGGATAGTATTACTCATTTAGCTTGATCGTCTCAAATTCAATGACCTTTCTTTTCTTTCATAAAATCTCCTTAAATTTTTTTTGCATAACTTTGTATCTGAGATATGGCTTCAATTAACGGGATGTTGACATGAAGCTTCCTAAATACATCGAAGAACTTTGCAAATTGTTCTTCAAACTTCCTTTTCTGTAGGAAGTAAATTCGTTTCAATAGGAACTATTGCCTTACCTTGTAAATCGTCTGAATTCTGATATAGAATTATTTTTCTTGATTATTTTGACTAATCTACATGCTCCTCATATGTAGAAGTTACCTTTTCATATACTACCACATATCTCTTAGCTGTGATTTCTGAAAGCTGTACTTCTCTGTGTGTACTAATTGCCTGAATCGTTTGTCCTTTAGGTCTTTTTCTAAGCCTTTAAGAGAATGGTATAGGTGGTACATACTCTCTGGTAACCAGAGCAAATTTGATTGGTAGCGTGTCAACCTCATACTTCACAACATTTATTATCATTACCTGTTGTATGGGATTTGTCTTCGTGTCACTGGTATGGTCCTTAGTTGTCTCTCTAAAATTGTTCTAGCAATTTGTCCCAGTAGATTTTCCAAGTTCTGTACATCAGCCCCTTCAATCTGAAATCTTTTCCCAGTCTGTTGCATAAATTTTGTTGGCGTTTCAACTATTTTGGTCAATGATTCAGTTCATGATGCTGCCATTTTGCTCGATGATTCATCCCATGATGGCTTATTTTCTAGCTCTTGAAAACTCAATGGTGTATTTTGATATAGTGCAACTTGAGACAACTGATTATTGTTCCAGGAGAAGTTTGAATGATTTTTCCAACTTGGATTGTATATTGGGATGGAGATTGTTTTGCTGCCTTTGATAGTTTTGCATGTAATTCACATCATCAACTAACTGTACAAATGGACTACATACATTACAATTCACACTTTTATGATTTCATCCACAATTTTTGCATCTCGGCCCAGCTGCATGAATTGCATTCACTATTTGATTGGTTGTCTAACCATTTACCTTTTTACTAAGTACAGCTAACTGTGCTAAAATAGCTGTCAATGTTTACTTCGTGAATCCCTGTAGCTCTCTTTTCACCTAATATCTCAATTGGCCATAATGCACTGGTGTATCCTAGATCCTCCATTATCTAATAAACCTGATCTAGAGTTGTCTTAGTAATTGACCCATCACAGGCAGAGTCAACATTAGCCATACTAGTCAGATTCAATCCAATATAAAAGTACTGGACTTGCAGCTATTTTTGCAAACCATGTTTTGGACATTGTCATAGCAGACATTTGTATCTTTCCCATACCTCGTACTAGCACTTCGAATCAAGTTAAGAGAATGTAGTGGTTTCATCCCTCAACGTGGCAATCCTCTTTGGTTGAAAGTATTTGTTCAAGAATTTCTGGATCAGACTGTCCCAAGTAGTGATGCAATGAGGTGGGAATGTATCCAACCATTCCCTAGCTGAATCTCTTAAGGTGTAAGGAAAGAGTCTTAGTTGAATTGCATAACTGGAAACTCTCAGATATTCAATTGATGCGCACATATCCAAAAATCTTGAGATGTGAGCATTTGAATTTCCAGTGGTATTCTCGAAGAATTGCCGTGCATGCTGGAACATGTTGATCAAGTATGTCCTTAAATGGAAATTAGCTTGCCTAAATGTTGGATAAGCTATACTAGATCTATTTTCTACCACTGGTGAAACCACGTAAATCCCCATCAGTCTCTCATTCTCATCTCTCATAGCTACAACCGGATGTTTTGCAATTTCATTCATTCCAATGGCAATTTGATTTTGTATCTTCTATATGTTCTTTTCTTCTCAACCTGAATGTTCGATCAATTTCTGGATCAAATTGAGCAAGATCATCGTGTCTCGAACTTTGCATACAAAATCCTAACAAAGAAAGAAAAGAAACACTCAAATTTTTTTCTAATAAAAAATTAAACTAATGAATTAACAAAAAATTCAGATTAAGCTAAAATAAATTAAAACAAATTAAATACAATAGTCTCCGACAGCGGCACCAAAAACTTAATCGTTAATTTCTCGCAAGTTTATGGTATCTCGAACAAGTAATAAAGTGTAGAGTAAAGTATCGTTCTTACAAGGACTACTTACTTAAACTAGATTCAATTAATCCTCATCTTAATCGAATAGTAAAATGTGTTAGAATGATTTTATAGTAAATTATATTATTAAACTAATTATTCTAGCGAGCAATTTATCAAGTGTTTGTAAATATAGATTAGATAGTATTAAGATTTTGAATCCTCCTTATTAATTCGTTTTAAAACAATTCAATAACATGACAATAATGAACATATTTTTATTGATCAATGTTCCTAAATTAATTAAAAGCATTTCTCGATGTTAATTAAATACATCCTCTCATGTGACCTCCTATATCTCTATGAAACACCCGAACATAAAAACATGCATTAAAAACGCTAGAACATACATGTTCATTTAAGTGTCACCATACTTTAGCTTATAAGATCAACTACTTAGTTTACAAGTAAGAAATGTTACAAGTGATGGTCTATTCGTAATAACAATATTCATATCTCGTTATTACTTACAACCATAGATGATTTAAAATTCGGTCATATGTAATTTATATCTCGCAATCACAACTCATTGTGATTAACAAATTACCAAAACTTAAATCTATGAATTCTACTATTTAATATATTAGAATATTAATTCAATTAAATAATGGATCTTACCATAAATAAAATGCATCAATTATATTAAAAGTGTTTATGTTCAAAATCAATTGGACCTAGGGCATAACACTTACAAGATTTCTGTTTTTTTTTTTAATTATTTGTTTTCTATTGTAAATGGGAATATTTTGTCTTTGTCATTTGCCTATTGAAATTGATCATGTTTCTATAGTACTATTATTTGGAATAGATTAGCACTCATTTATTTGTTAAATTTTATATTAAATAATCACGAAAATATATTTTTTAAATGAAAATCTCCATTTTCGAGAGGAGTAAAATATTGCTGAAACGAGTGTTGAGAGAAAGATGTTGAAAATAAAACTTTTAACTTAATTTTTGATCCAACAACGAAGAATGTCTGGTTCCACCACTGAGTTCGAGTACAAATGCAATACATATACACCATTTTTAATTGACAAACAAGTAGAAAAGACAACCATCTACATTCGTCAATGTTGAGAGGTTTTATAAATTTTCATAATTCTCTAAAAATCTCAGGCAAAAGGTTATTCTCCGAGTAGTATTGAAGTTCTTCAAAAGATGTTGTCAAAATTGGCTGTCGAATTGGAACACTCTTCAGTGAAGTCGATGATTCTATATGATTGCTCAAAATTCTATCAGTTCCGAGACTAAAATACAAAAATCAATTCAGAAAAATAATATGACTAATAACCATAGAACAAAGGAGAACACTTCTCCAAAACTAGTTAAAAATCTTTGTCATCAACAGTGGATAGGGTCACCCGAAAAGCATAAACCTCGTAGTACGCAGACACTAACATAACTGTGCTCCAACAAGATGCCACAATGAACAAAAAGATAAGAAGAGAAATAAAATATTTCGTAAGAACATGAACAAAGACTCTTGATTCCATAGAATTGAAAGATACTATTGTTGCAAAATTGTCAATATACAAAGATTTAATCAACATGTACACAAACAATTCTACAATGGGTTCGTTGAATGGCTAGTTAAACAATTTGAAGAATCATTATAAATAGATTAATGCAAGAATATACCTCGAAAACATCCCTGGCAGAGGAGATCGCAAAACAATAGGTACTGCTTGCAAATCCCAATAATTTTCCATTGTATTATGATAAACCTTGGACTTCAAATAAGTTTCACATGTTGCTGTTACAGTCAACCAAAGCTTATGATTACCATTACTATCCTCTCCTCCAAATCGGGTCAATAACCACGACGATCACCCTCTCCATCTTTGAAACCATCTGTTGTTGTTGCACCTGCCAAAATCCACAAGCTGCTCATTTTCATGTATATTTGATTCTTATTAGAATGAAGATCTTTCTCAACCGAAATTGCGTGAACATTTCTCAAAAGGCCTTTGATTCCCATTTCACAAAGGCCTTTTGTTAAGCTTTTTTCTTTTTTTTTTTTGGGGGGGGGGGGGNGGGGGGGGGGGGGGGGGGGGGGGGGGTATAAGGATATTGTTTTTATATAGCATCAATTTCAATAACTTTGTACAGTATTCTATACTTTCTCATTTTGTATGTCTTAAGAGTGTCAACACATTCAGTACGGATTACACGCCTTTGATATATAAAGTTGTATCCCCCATCTAAAAACAATATTAATAATAAATAAAGTGTGATGATTTTCCAAAATATTGTTGTATTGTTAACAATTTTTAGGTTGAGTACTAGTACCTAAATTAACAAGTATAGATACTCGCATTGTTTAACATTTTTTAGGTTTAGTAGTGATACAAAAATTTTGAAGTATGAATATCCTTTATTTTAATATTTTTTAGGCTAAGTTCGGTACCCAAAAGTATGGGATATCTATAATTAAAAGTAAAAATGAGAATGAAATATCGTTGCATATATACTTGTACCTAGCTAACTGTTACGTTGAAATCCGCAAGCGTATATATCATTGTATAAGTAATAGAAATAGTGAGTTTCGAGTTAATCGAATTTACGTCAATAGTTATTATTAGATTCGAGGGAATAGTGACAGCGAAAGAGTGATTTTGTGGTTATTTATATACTTTTAGCCTCTGTTTGAGTCACATTAAAATTTTCATTCTCATTTTTCTACTCATTTTCAACCACTCATTTTTCAATAAAAATAATATTTTCCATCACATCAATAATTTTTCCTTCTTTTTCAATCACACATTCTCCATCAATCAACTATTCTAAAATACATTCTTCCAAAATAACATGGCTCAAACATACCCTTAATATATACTAATAAAGCAAGTAAATTGTGATTTTAATGAATGTGAATGCTTGTATTGGATTCATGACCCTATTTCCATCTATTTCAATTATCAATTAATAATCTAGTTAATTTCATGCATTTTTGACAACTAATAACGCTAATATGTTAAATGATATTTTCCAATATACACCAACCAATGATTAACATGACCGATCCTATTCCTAATCCGAATTCATATAAAAATCATACATTTAGTTTAGGTTATTTACATGATTGCACGTGTCATATATATTATTCTTAATACATATTGTTCATATATTGATTTTACCGCGTTCTAAATTTATTATGAGTATTTCTACACTATAATAAGCAACTAACTATTCAATTGATGACCAAATAATTAAATAGTGTAACGAGAATACAAAACCAATCAAGAAATAACAAAAAATACCTAAATTAAAGTTTTAAATTGAAATAAACAAAAATAGGCTTCCTTAATCATTCAATACAGCTAAAAGCTTAGCTAATCATCCTAAATATTGAATTACACAAGAAAATATGGAATAACATCACTTGGATCAAGAAATGATGGACATAAGTGGAGAAATCCACTTTCTTGAATGAAATCTTGAAAAATAAGGAGAAATCTTCAATAATCTTGTAAAAATCTGCATTTGATTGATAATTGGTCTCGTTCTTTGCCTTCAAAATATGTAAAAAAAAAAAAAAATACGAATTTTTAGGCCTAGAGAGGTCTCCCACATTCTGGTTGAATTTTGGTATTAAATGATACCAAAAATATTGCATTTGAATTGTTACCAAAACAAAAATAAGAAAAATCAAATTCTTCCTATTTTTACACTTAGGTCTACCTAATACAAATTAGGGCGTATACGTGAACCCTTTAGGCAGCCTCAGGTGTCTTAGATTAGGAGGCGCGCGTCTCCTTTGCAGCCCTAGACTTGTCTCGAGTACCTTTCAGTATTTCTATCATAACTTTCTTACCTCGATATCCGATTGGAGTGATTCAAAGTGCATTGAAAAACTAAGTCAAAGGGATACAATTATTCTTGTATCATTTCTCCAATTCAAATGTTTTCTATGCTAAAAATGGGTTGCAATCTATGACTGAAAATCTAAAGCATAACATTTTTTTCAGCCGAAAATTGATGTTTGATTATATTTTGACTATATTTTATCTTTTTGACTTCTTTCCTATACAATTAACTCCTATCACTCTCAAATCTTCAATATAAGGTCCAACACAACTTTTGAGTATTTATACTTGACTCCTCGAACTTTGGTTCCATTATTTATTCTAATTCTTCGTCCAAACATGAGCTTTTCCTAATAAAGCAATAAATAATAAATTAGACACTTATCCATCCAAAGAATAACAAAATATCATCATTTGGAATCCCAAATAAGTGTAGAAACTACACTTATCAAACCCCCAAACTTTAGTCTTTGTTTGTCATCAAACAAAACTAAAACCCAATTATAAAACAAACACACAAACATGCAAAAATATTTAGCTAGCTAATCCGACATTTTATCTCAAAATTGAAATAATGACATTAAATCTAAGGACGACTTTAAGATCACAATATAAAAATTAAAATCTATTTTTCCAATGTAAAGTCAGTGTATAAGCGTGTGAATAATTAAGTATAGTATTATGAATTCACAAGTTGTTCCATTCTCGACTCTTAATAGTCAAATATGTTCTTATCCTTACTCGTGAGATTCACACTCCCCCAAACTTGTTATTTTCTCTCTTTTCAAGTGTATGATCTAATGTTGAATTTTATACCATCCCCACATCTCTAGTTTAGGTAAATCTCACCAATTATAGTTTAGCATGTTAATAAATAAGGATTCTCCATCAAGTTTGATTGCTTCAATCTCTAGAACTCAATTAGGCTAATAATCATTTATGAAAAGTCAAATTTCTCTAAATAAGTGTTTGGGATATAATCAAGACATTTGGTGCGTCTTCTATTTTATGCACCTACTTTATTCTCATTTTTTTTTATTTCTTTCTCAATTTCTTTTTTTTTTTAACACTTTTTTTCATTATTTGCAGCATTCTTTCACTTAAGCTTTCTAAATGATCCATATAATAAGGTTTAGGTCGATGACTTCCAAGTCAGATGACTTTAGGACAATAGGTTTTAACACTCTTACATGAGTAATAACTCGACTCATAAAGATTAAGAAGAGAAACTTTCAAATAAAATATTTTTTATGCCTTAAATAGTGTAATGTCCCTCATTAAACACTTATCCAAGTAAACTAACCTCTAACTTAAGATTTTCGCCCAATTTAATTCTATTGATTTTAAACAATCCACATCATATTTTTAATTTCACACATGAAATTCTCATTTATTTCAATATCTTCATACAATATTGAAATCTCCCAAAATATTGTAAATTTGGTCTAATGATGTAAAATATACTGGTTTTGGATTTAGCATCTATGATCCACTATTTCAACATATCTAACTACACAATGCTTAACTTAATTCATGTACTCAATATATACCAAATTTCACATAACAAAAATTAACTAAGCATGCAACATATTCATCATTTATAGATCAATTTATAATTCAATATATTCCTCATTGCTAGGTAGGCCAACTAACTCACGCAAGCAAAAAAAAATATATTTTTGGAAGTTTTTAAAATTTTTAATTTTTTTGTATTTTTTTTATATATTATAAAGCAATAACAGCACACAAAAACAGAAGAAAACTCATGTCTTTCTCCCTCAAACTTAAATTAGATATTGTCCTCAATATCTTAAATTCGAAGTCACAATATAAAGAGTTGGGAAGAAAATGAAGAAAATACTCCTCTGATATAACGTGAAATCCAATGGCAACCTTGTTCTATTGCTCTCGTTGTCTCTTTGGTCAATGTTAGTTTAAGTGTTCCATGACGTCATGTTCCTACACAATGCGGCTTGATAAAACATTCAAGATCAAATTTTGGAACAAGTATTACTTAGCTCAAATATCTAATAAACAAACTAAATCTTGAGGACCTAAGGGGAAATATAAAGTGGATGATGAGCCCCTAATAATTAAATAAAAACTATTCTAAATAATCCCAAGTCTATAAAGCATAATAAATAAAAGGGGTATAAGTGTTGAGTTACTCGCAACAAGCGCTTATTTAAAATCTTTAACTTAACTTTTGTTGTTTCTAAACTCTTCATGGTGGCTTGGAAATGAAATGTTCAGCCTTGTATTTTATGCACTGATTGCACTTCATTCTCTCATCTTTCATCCTCAATATAATCAACTTTTCACTATTGTCCCTATCAACAATTTTACATTTATCTAGCCTGCTCTTGTAGCTCTTGTAATGGTCCATTCTTTGGCAATCCTCAAAGTAGGAGGGATGTTTGAGTGAATTTTCCATAGTGAAGCTTTACTACTTATCCTCAGTCTTTAGGACTATCTCATTAATATCAAAATCCAGCAAGACTCGACTTGAAGACAAGAATGGCCATCCCAAGATTATGGGCATCTGATATGTCTCTTCAATGTCTAGGATGATGAAGTCAGTTGGGAAAATAAACTCTCCCGCCTTGATAAGCATGTCTTCAACTATTCTGTAGGGATGTTTTAATGATCAGTCCGCTAATTGAAGGATAATAGATGTCACCTTTGGATTTCATAATCCTAATTTCCTATAAAGACGCAAATGAATTAAGTTAATACTTGATCCTGAATCAATTAAAAAATTAATACTTTGTAAGTTTCCTATGGAACAATATAGAGTAAAAGTCCCTGGATCTTTAAGTTTAGGAGGGATCCTGAGCTTCCTGAGTTGCATGATTGCACCGCACTCTTCAGATAATGTTATTGTTTCGTTCTCGGGCAACTTCATCTTTTTAGTCAACATTTCCTTCGAAAACTTTTAGTTTGGGATTTGAAGGATAGTATCAATGAATGGGATGTTGACATGCAGCTTTTTAAGGACCTCTATGAATTTCATGAATTGTTTCTAATGAGTGAATTTTGTGCACTTATTTAAGTCATTTTACTTTCGTTTTATGTCGTCAAATTATTAATTTTTACTTAACTTGAGTTAATTTTCTTTTGTTTTAGTTATGGACGTGTTCAAAGCAAATGGAAAAGGAAGAATGTCGAAATT